CTGGGGTCATGAATTTCACAATTTTGGTAGAGTCATTCTTGCTTATCATAACTATGTATTTAATTTGTTTCAATAATACCAAGGAGTAGAGAAGAAGATTTTTAAAGAAATAATGCACTTTCACTATATGATCTATATACCCCCCCCCAGCACCAGAACCCCTGACCCTGGGGCCATGAATTTCACAATTTTGGTAGAGTCACCCTTGCTGATCATAACTCTGTATCTAATTTGTTTAAATAATACCCAGGAGTAGAGAAGAAGATTTTCAAAGAAATAATGCACTTTCACTATATGATCTATATAGCCCCGCCCTAGCACCAGAACCCCTGACCCTGGGGCCATGAATTTCACAATTTTGGTAGAGGGCTCAATGCTTATTACAATCATGTCATCAGTTTGACTGCTTGATGTCCAGGAGTAAAGAAGAAGATTTTTAAAGATTGCATTAATTTTGATGGTTTTAGCCCCACCCCTCAGGCCCCAGGGGGGCAGGGACCATGAAATTCACAAATTTTGTTCCCCTTCACACATAGATGCCATATGCAAAAATTGGCTGAAATTGGTTCAGCGGTTTCAGAGAAGAAGCTGAAAATGTTCAAATGTTAACACACGACGCACGACGGACGACGACGGACGAAAACGGATAGCAATAGGTCACCTGAGTGACTCAGGTGACCTAAAAATATATGAAGAAGAATATGCAATAACAACTGTATTTATAAAATTTCAAGATAATTCCTAAATATCCAACAACCTGTAAAGAGTATCCCTGTATTTATATATTAAGGCAGTAAAAAATATCATATCTATAATAACTCAATTAAATGTATATTTAAACAAGAATAAAGCATGTGTTTTTTAAAATGCCAGCCTTCAGTGAATGCAAATATCACCCAGGCTTGACCTTAACTTCAAAACAAACATCAGTTGCAGACAAAGGTTAATTTATCTTACATTGACAAATAAAGATAAGCCTGGAAAATTTTCTGCCCCAGACAAGATAATTAATCCCAGGAGATTAATTGTACTGCTCTCTCATCCTTTTCTTCCAAGTTTACAATAAGAACTTTTTCAGTAATGATAGAATGAGTTTATTATCAGACTACGTGATAAAATTAATAGTATTCTTGAATTTACATACAGCAGCAAAAAATTAAAAAAATGAATAAATAAATAAATAAAAACAAAAAAAATATAAAAAAAATCATATCTTTATGTATATCTTGTTTTTAGAATTCAATAAAATCAGAACTCATTGTGTATTTTACCAAAATTAAGTATGAATATTATTTAAATCCACATTTCAGAGAATGTAAACATCATTTAGAATTGACCTTAACTTCAAAACAAACTTCATTTGCAGACAGAGGTGTTAATTAATCTCAATTTGACAGAAACAGATAATGCTTTGGATTTTCTTCAAGAGGAAAGTTAATTAATCCCATGGGATTAGTTGCAGCTTTCATAGTTTACAATAGGAACATTCTCAGCAGTTATCTCTCTTTGCTCTGGCATTCATTCTAATGTAAAGTTAAGGAATCTACCCCATCACCCCAGCTCCAAACTGGATGACATAGAGAACCAAACTTAGTATCAAAATATGTCTTACTGCCTCTTCAACCAACATACCAAATTTGAACTTAATTGGTCAACTACAAAAAAAGTTATTAGAAAAAAACAGAAAATTTGTGGATGGAAGAATGACAGATGGACAGACAGACAGATGGACAGACAGACAGACAGACAGAGTGATTACTATAGGGACCTAATATGTATTTTCTTGATTTAACATTTTTTTAATAAGGATACTGCAACACTCTTGCATTTTTTGGGATTGTGTAATCTAATAGTAAAAAGACAGTTCTTTTTTTAATTTCACTTAAATTAAAGGTCACAATGACCTTGAAATAGGTCCCTTCTACCTAAGATGCATAAGTTGGCCAAGTTTGATGATTCTAAGTCCAATAGTTTTCTAGTTATGAGCCGGACAGGATTTTTCCATATTTGGCCATAGCATCTTAATTAAAGGTCAGAACGACCTACTTTTAGTGCCCAAGAAGTATCTTCTTCTACCCAAGAAGTATCAGCTGACAAAGTTTGATAATCCTAGGCCTAATAGTATTAAAGTTATGAGCCGAACATGAGAAAAGCTAACAGACAGACAGATGGACAGACATGAACGCCATAACATAATTTGTCCCGTCTAAAGACAGGCGTATAAAAATCTCAGATAGGCAAGCTTGTGCTCTATGTTTCCCAAAGTGAAAAGTATCTCAAATTTGACAAAATTCCATCAGAATTGAGGAAATTCGGAAAAATTCCTAATTATGCACCCTCTTGTGGCCTCTGTGTAAGCTTTGAATCAAAATTAGTGTTGATTTTAAAACAAGCATCATTTGAAGTTCTTAACTACAAACTATCACAATTTTAACTGTGTTCTGATTTTTACATCAGATAAAGGGCCAGATTCGGCAGTTACCATATCTTGTCCTTATGTATAAGTGCATAAGCTTACATAAATATATCTTAAATGGTTTTTTTAAAACTAAGCAAAATGCAAATTTAAGAAAAGTGAGATCAAGGTCACAGGAAAGTTCAAGGTCAAACATTTTTGATGCAGTTGAATAGTTCTCACATTACCTATCAGCATATTAAGTTTGATAAAAATATTTGAATTGTTTATTTAAAACTGAGCTAAACACTAATTTAAAATAAATGAAGTTAAGGTCAAAGGAAAGGTCAAGGTAAACAAATGTTGATGCAGTTGAAAAGCTTACATCAGTATGTATTAGCACAGGACGTTTGATAAAATACTATGAATGATTTCTTTAAAACTGAGTTAAACACAAATTGATTAAAGTGAGGTCAAAGTCAAATGAAAGGTCAAGGTCAAAAATGTTGATGCAATTGAATTGCTTAATCAGTATGTATCAGCATATGAATTTTGACACTAATTTAAGAAAAGTGAGGTCAAGGTCAAATAAAAGATCAAGGTCAAAAAGTATTGATGCAGTTGAATAGCTCTCATCAGTATGTATTGGCATATGAAGTTTGATAACACTATCCTGAATGGTTTCTTTAAAACTAAGCTAAACTGTAATTTAAGAAAAGTGAGGTCAAGGTCAATGGAAAAATCAAGGTCAAATATGTTAATGCTGTTGAATAGCTCTCATCAGTTTGTATCATCATATGAAGTTTGATAAAAAAATATCTTGAATGGGTTCTTTAAAACTGAGCTAAACACTAATTTAAGAAAAGTGAGCTCAAGGTCAAAGATCAAAAGCCTGAAAGGCTTCAATGACGTCGAACAAGAAAAACAATTTCAAAAGATAATTTTGAATTTGAAGATAGCGATAAGTCAAGTGAGTGACTCAGGAGACATAATAAAAAAAAATAGTTTTAAACAAAATATCACAATTACAGTCTGGGGCCTTATGTCATGGTCCGAATAGAGCAAGGTTTGAATTGACCAGACACCGTCGAACATGTTCATGCCAAATATTCTTTTCAGTCAATTATGAACTATGAAGGATTTCATGAATTTATATAATATTTTTTCTAATTGCCAATGTCAAAGCGTTGTATTAGTGATTGCATCTAAACTACAACCAAGACTCTGTTCTGTTACAATTACGATCGAGTTACGATCGGGCGTGGTATACGGTATACTGGGAAATGGAGGAAATGGAGAAACACAGTAATACTGGTCAATATCATCGGTTTTAGGATAGAGTTGGTTAGAAGATTGTATAAGTAAAGCTAAATTTAGAAATTCAATCTTTTTAGTCTTGTAGTATTCGTGTTTATGTAATTTTGTAATTATTTTACCTCCTGTTGTGTTGTTTATGTTACACGGTTATCGTTCCGAAATGTTATTCATGTCATTCAACGCACCCTTTCTGTAGAAATTCATCCGCAACAACCATCACGTTTTTCTTGTGTGAGAATAAAACATAATATTGTTGTTTTGCAATAGAATTAATTGCAGATATAATTGATGCAATTTTATTTTCAAGGTATTATTCATTTTGAGCGTTTTCAAAGAAATTGGTTTATAGCTATTGCTATTTTCTATTGCGGATGCATCGACTGACACATTCGGTCGCGTACATATCCGGTCGCGATTTCAACTGGGCGCTTGCTAGATGACGTTCGAGCTCCAAGAGCTCGACGTCATAAAAAGGTCAAGGTAAAAAAATGTTGATGCAGTTGAATAGCTCTCATCAGTATGTATCGACATATCAACAAATGCATAATAAATTTTGATTACACTATCTTGAATTGTATCTTTAAAACTGAGCTACACACTAATTTAGGAAAAGTGAGGTCAAGGTCAAAGGAAAGGTAAAGGTCAAAAAATGTTGATGCAGTTGCATAGCTTGATGAAAATATCTTGGATAGTTTCTTTGAAACTGAGCTTTGAACTGAGCTTAATGCAAAGCGCGACGGAAGGACAGACAGAAGGATGGAAGGATGGAAGACAGACATGACAAACACTATATCCCCAGCCATATTCATGGCAGGGCATAAAAATGTTGATACAGTTGTATTGCTCTCATCAATATCTATCAGCATATGAAGATTGATAAAAACATCTTGAATAGTTTCCTTGAAACTGAACTTTGAACCGAGCTAAGCGCAAAGCGAGACTGATGGACAGACGGAAGGATGGGAGGACGGAAGGACAGAAGACGGACAAGACAAATACTATATGCCCCGGCCAATTCATGGCGGGGCATAAAAATGATTTACAATAGTTTTGCTTCATTTTACATGACCAGTCAGACTACACATGTACCTTGAAGCAAAAGTAAACTAGACAAACTTTTACCAAGGTGTTAGCATGAGCCTCATTGGTGAGCCCTGGAATACATGTACCCTATATTGTGAATATCTTGTCATTCCACAATGAAATCTGGGAATTGTTACAATAGCTCCCAATAAAGTTACAACTAGATGCTGCTTAAAGTTAGTAATGACAGAAAGTCTACACTTACCACTTGAGGGGTCACTAGAAGATGAACTTCCACCTAGTGCTTTTCTTGGGGCACTTGCTGCTACAACTAGAAACAGAATTAAAGTTTAGTTTACTTAGCTTACTAAAAGATACTGGATTTACTTGATATGGGCACAAGTTTTCACTTAAGACTGTTTCAGACATGTCGCAGTAGTCTGGATTGCTATCACAACTGAATATAGTAACATTAAACTAGCTAGAACTGTCCAAAATAGAAAAATACCCCTGCTTGGTTGATTAGAAAAGGTACCAAATCACTGATCTAGAGGTGTTCAAAATTCACTAACACTGACAGTCACAAAATTTAATTAAAATTTATTTAAAATTTCCACCTAGTACTTTTCTTGGGGCACTTGAACGAACTAAGCTAAATTAGCCTATTAAATCCAGGAGTGTGCAATTGCAAAATTAGCTACTAGCCCAGGGGCTAATGGCAGTAACAAAGTTATTAGCCCAAGGTCGCCAGTTACTAGCCAAACTGTTACTACTGACAACAATACATGTATCTGTTTAACATAAGGCTAAAAAATATATCTAAGTTGAAATAAATAAAACAAACTGTGGTTAGTTTCATATATTTTATTTTTAAATTTGTTTGGTTTGTCAAGTGGTGAATGATTCACCCATTTCAGCTTGCCTGATTTTTTGTGACCATCCATTATATATGTTGTTTGTGACTTTCTAACCAGTAAGAAATGTCTTTGTCTACACAAAAGCTTTTCAAGACTTTGGCCTTCAATCATTATGAACATTTGTGCCTGCAAGTTTGATTGGGTTAATTTGCTTCTTAATCTACTTTTCAGTATTTTCAGTGAGAAACTCTCTCACATTGTGCAGTGCTAACACTCAGTGCTAGCATTACTTTAACCAATTAGATTAATGTTTTGATTCTAGGAGGACACGTTGCCAGAATGTGAAAGTAAGCTTCATACATTTCTAAAGTCTTTTAAAAACTGTTCATAATTTTTTAAAAGGTGGGAAAGTCTTTTAAAATTTTGTCCCTCTCTTCAGCAGAAAATAAAGATTTCAAATTATCAGTTCCATGTGTGCCGAGTTCTCCCCTGTTGGTTGGCCATTTCATATGGTCAAAAACTGTAAAGTCCTTTAAAGGGCTTTCATTGAAGACAGCAAATCTGTTTAAAATCAAAAGTAATCAAAGTCAATTAAATTGTGAAGACAGCCCATTATCATATGTATCCTGAGAAAACTGTGACTTGAGTTTTTCAAACCTGTACCTTAAAAATCATTTCATCTTTTTTTAAATTAATACTGTTTAATAGGAATAAAATATTTTGAGCTGAGTTAAGGTGAAATATCCCTCTGCTCCAAATTTCACAAATTTTTTTCTTTAAATTCCCAACATTGTTTTAAATCAACAACAAAAGCATTCAATTCAAATGGAAAAGAGTTTGAAGTATGAAGCATTGCTTACTTTTTCAGAAATGAATATTATGTCTCATCATGATATGAAGAAAATTTGATATGGTGAATAGAAAGATCAATAATTTTTTATCTCACCATAAAATTAAAAATATGAGAGACATGTATACACGTATATGAAAATAATATTTGCTATCATAAATATCTTATTCATGTTTGAGACATAATGAAGCACTGCTTTTTAAATCAGAATATCACATTGTAAAATAAAATGCAGCCATCTACAAGAGTTATTTTTCAATCTACAGGAGTTATTGTTATTCAAAATATTTTTTAGTGAATTGATTATAAAAATTCTGCATCTGAAATTTCTGTAACAAAAGATTTATATGTTAAGATTTATCTCAATTTCAATATAATATCTCAATTTAAAATCTCGGTTTTAACAATTTAAAGGAACTGGGTATACCCATAAATGTTTTGCATAAACTACTGTAAGTAATTTAACAAGAGGACCATGGGCCACATCACCTCACCTGAGCATCTAAGAGTTCAATATTTTATAATTGGTAACAACCTACCCCTACGGGGAGGAGGGATGATTTGAACAAACTTGAATCTACACTAACTCAGGATGCTTCCATATTTCTTTAACAAGTCATGACTTGACTTTAAAAAAATTTTCCCACAAGTTTTATCTTCTATTGTGTCAATGCCCTACCCCAGGGGACATAATCTTTACTGTTCTTGGGATTTTTAAAGATTTTTCCAATGTATAACTGGCCCCACACTACTCTTGGGGACCATGATTTGAAGAAACTTGAATCTACACTACCTAAGGATGTTCCATGACCAATCATGGCTTTGCTGTTTTTGAGAAGAAAATTTTTAAATACTGTAAGTCGTTTTAATTCTACAGTGTAAAAATTTCTTGATTTCTCAAAAAGTACCAATCACTATGTTTTAAATTTCACACTGCAAGAAATTAATTTAAATTTAATATAAGCATTTAAAAGTTTTTAATAAAGTGCCCCGCCACAGCATGATACGCCCGTCAAATATTGTTCAATTATCACAAACATTTTAGAGTGCAAGAAAATCAAGTCAACCTTGATACACGGATTTCCATGATTTTTCCATTCCTTATAATATTTGTTTATACATTTCCTGTGGTGTAGGCATGAATTATAACAAATATTACATTATAGATCCTCAACTGGTTGTGTTAGAGCTTGACAAATGCCCATCTGCAGCCCCCCCCCCCCCCCCCCCTTTTCATATTTGTGAGACATGATGCTCTGAAATTTGTTAGTTGATATTTTCAAAAAATTAAATAAAAATATAATATTATTCAATATGAATTTATCTTAACAACTTAATCTATACCAAATTAATTTTAAAATAAAAGACTGGCCATCAAATGAAATATGCTATAAACTGACCAGCAGTTCTTCTGTTTAATTCCCAAAGGATACAGATAAGAAGTGCTTGATCAGATATGCTCTAACAGAAATGATTGAGACAGCTAGCCTTCCTACACTGAACTCATTAATTAATCTTTTACTGGATGCATGTCCACTCATTACTCCCAAGGGATGAATGGCCATATCTGCGCTATCTGCTTTGTAGTGCAATTAAAATGTATATTTATGTCATACTGAAATTAAATTTGAAAACAAAGATTTTTTTTTTTCAATGTGTTACAAAGATTTATAAAAAGAAAAAAAAATGTAATCTTGATGCAACATTTTTAATAAGGTTTCTGCTTGACTCTTACATTTGTAGGGACTAATCTACCATAATTAAAACTTTTTTTTAAATACTTGATTTTTTTTTTAAGACTCAATGTCAGACTGGTTTTAAGCTGCAATTCATATGGAGAACCGGCATGCTAATTCCAATATCACCCCCCCCCCCCTTCCAAGTATAATTAGTTTTAATTAATTAGTTTAATATAAGATATCAAATTAGTTTAAATAATACAATATCAAATTAGTTTTAATTACTTTTCACCAAATTCATTTTAAAAGTTAGGCTAGCCCACAAAAACTATGTAATCCAACATGGCTGATTCCTCTGCCCAATTCCCAAGAGATATAGATAACACCTGCTTGATCAGAGATGCTCTACCAGTTAGCTCCTCACACTAAACCATTAATTTCTCTCTAATTTGACATGCAATTTTCTGTTATCAAAATTCTCCTTGACCAGTGCTTGATAATTACACCCATGGGAGAGGTGGAATTTCTCTTGTAACATTATATTTGTTATAGATTGCTGTAAAGTATATAATGAAAAAAATAAGTATTTTCTTGATTTTAACATTTTTTTAATAAGGATACTGCAACACTTTTACATTTTTGGGGATTGTGTAATCTAATAGTAAAAAGACAGTTTTTTTTTTAAATTTCACTTAAATTAAAGGTCACAGTGACCTTGAAATAGGTCGCGACACACCTTCTACCTAAGATGCATAAACTGGCCAAGTTTGATGATTCTAAGTCTAATAGTTTTCTAGTTATGAGCCGGACAGGATTTTTCCATATTTGGCCATAGCATCTTAATTAAAGGTCAGAACGACCTACTTTTTGTGCGCGACACACCGTCTACCCAAGAAGTATCAGCTGACAAAGTTTGATAATCCTAGGCCTAATAGTATTAAAGTTATGAGCCGGACACGAGAAAAGCTAACAGACAGACAGACGGACAGACGGACAGACATGAACGCCATAACATAATACATCCCGTCTAAAGATGGGCGTATAAAAACTTATGATAGCATTCACAATGGGTTTAATTTCGCGGGAAATGATGAATCGTGAACATAGTGAAATTAAAACTATCGTGATTATTTGCCAATCTACAGTATTTTTCCTATGTAAATCTATGTAAACCTTAAATTTGATCATCCATTGTAACCCCACCCTAACCCTGAGGGTCATGATTTGAACAAACTTAAATCTACACTACCTGAAGATGCTTCCATATAAAATATGTTTATGACTCTGCTGTTCTTGAGAAGATTTTTAAAGACTTTTCCTATGTATTTCTATGTAAAACTTTGATCGTCCATTATGGCCCCACCCTACCCCGGGGGGTAATGATTTGAACAAATTTGAGTCTACACTACTTGAGGATGTTTCCACATACCGTATATACTCGCCTTTAAGTTAGTCCGCCTATAAGTCAGTTGTATTTTTTTAGGTTATTTTGGAGGGATTTGCCATTGACCTGCTTATAAGTCGGAACAACTTTTTGCCAAAATCAGTTGACAATTTCAAATCAAGGCTCTGGTGCAGTCTTCGACAAATCCCAGGAGTCCGAAGCCCAGGACCTGGTAAAATTGGAAGCGGGCATGTGGAAATTGCATACTTACAAGCCCGAAGGGCATGTAAATTCTGAGGCCTAAGCCTCCATATTATCAAATTAAATAATACCAAAAACATTAAATGTACTTAAAATCTGATTTTTCATCTAAAATGGAGCACCAAATAAAATTTTAACGATAGTTTATTCTACTGCGATTTCCAAGGAACTCTTTTGCAAAGGAGACACAAAAAGTATACACGTTGAAAACAATACGTGACTTCCAAAAAGTGTACATGTTGAAAACAATATTAATGGCGAGACAATAGATCGATAGAAATGGATTTTGGATCATTTCCT